AAAGCCAGATGCAATTGGCTGACCTCTGCAAATGATAATATTGGACTCTGGGGAATATACCAATAATGCAATGACATTGCTTTAGATAAGAGGACAAATAGCTGCATATCTCGGCCCTCTCTGAGGTCTGGTTTTCATATTTGTAATCATATAAAAAATTGTATGGTTCAATCTTTGTCACAATTCTAGGCTCTGCCTTACTGGGGTAATCAGCATGACAGGCGAGTGTTAAGGAAGTTCTGGAGTCAGAAGCAATTCCATACGGAAGACTCTGAGTTCCATATATTAATCACCAGCTACCAGTTGGTGGTTCAGGACGTTAAGTATTTTCAGCGTATTAAGTGGCAATACATGATCTTAGATGAGGCACAGGCAATCAAGAGTAGCAGCAGGTAAATATGCATCACTTTTAGGTGTACAACAAAGTTTGATGTTATTCTTTTTCTTTCTTTTTTTTAAAATTTATTGTCCCATTTTCTTCTTGTATAGTTGACTTTATTATTATTGTTACTGTTTTTATTGTTATTTTTGGTGGTGTTATTGTTTGGCCATTGTCACTGTTGATGCTATTGCTATTATTAATGTTTTAGTTTTTTTTTCTATTATTGGGAGTTTTTAAAGTGACAAGCCCATAGCTTGTCAGATAACATTTAGTCATATACGTTGCTGCAGCTGTTGCTGTTGTTTTGTTTCTGCTGCTGCTGCTGCTGTTGTTGCCATTGCTGGTTTGCTGTTGCCGTCATTGTTATTGTTATTATCATCATTGTTATTATTGTTGTCATTTACTTATATATTATTCCCTTTCAGTGTGAGGTGGAAGATACTACTTGCATTCAACTGTAGAAATCGTCTGCTTCTCACTGGCACTCCGATTCAGAACAGTATGGCAGAGGTAGGCCACTTTTATATATTATTTTTAATGAAAAATTAAAAACTAAAGCAGTCACTCCATAGAGTGCATACCTCTGCCCTGTGCCTGAATAACAATACACAGGCCATGTATGATATCAATAGAATCGCCTTCAGTTTCAGGTTAGATTGTTTTCTTGAGCGCTGCCTGAATACTAGGGTGATTACATTATTTTATGCTCGAGGTAAAAAATCCAATTTCCATGACCATGGACTGACCTTGTCTGTTGACTCATTTCTTCCAAAAATTGAATGGTGTCTTTCTATGATTATTATGTACTATTCCACTAAATTTTATGATTCATTCATTAATTTTTACGTAATCTTGCTAACAGACAGACAGACAGAAAGACAAACAGACACACAAACAGACTGCAGTGAGTACATAACCTCCTTGGCAGAGGTAATTATCTACTACTACCTGGCCTTTTCTAAAAAGCCAATGCTAGGGTAGTGCACTCTTTGGATTCCCTCAGTTGTCAAGCCTATCACAAATCCTGATGAAGAAAATGCATCTCTATCTAAACTTCTGTATATGCTATCAAATTTTAGGTGAAGAAAAGCGTGTGATAAGCTCGTGTATGGAAATAATGATGTCATAATCATACCCATATATGACCATATCACAGGTATATTTTACATAAAATTAGATAGTGTTAATCAAAGCTATATATTCCACAAAATATTTATGTAAATTTTCAAAATTATATTTGAATTTTATTTTCATAGCTTTGGGCTTTGCTCCATTTCATCATGCCAACACTATTTGATAGTC